TGATGAGAGGGATCCGGGCATGCTTGATGCCGAAATTGCCCAGATGTTTAACTCAGACACGGAAGGTGAAGAATTTGATGGAATTGTGGAAGTTGAATGGACTGAAAAAGCAAGTGTATTTTTCAATATTTAATGTGTTACAGGTTAACAATGTTAAGAGTTACTGTGAATGAGCTTAATAAAGGTCGAGTTATCTGACTGTTTTGTTTGTCTTAATGCGCCTTATAATATGGTGCGCCTTATGTATGAAAACAGACCCAGTCTTCAACAGTGCGCCTTATAGTGTGGAAAAAAATGGTACAGGGAAAAAAAAATTCATTAAATTTGAAATGTGAAATGAAACAATGACACAGATTCAACACAAGTTTTTTACCTGTTCATATGTATCCAGCTCAGCCCTAATGTCATCCAGTTGCTGCCTGGTAGTGCACTCCACCTGCTGCAGCTGAGCTGACAGCTCCTGCTCCAGATCCAGCCACAGTTTCTCACAGTGTTCAGCAGGGAGCTTTGTCTGAGCAGGAACAGAGGAGAGAAAAACATCCTTGGCCAGCTCCCCGAGCCTCTTGGACCAAGAGGTACGAAGTTTCTGAAGACACAGAAACTACATAAGAAAAACAGACGAGCTCTGTAAGCAGACAGAATTTAGCGATTGATCATTTACCTTCCAGAGGTCACAGAGGCCGTCAACCACCCTTCTGTCCTGCTGCTGCTCCAAGTCCCAAATCTGTTGCCTGTGCTTCATCAGCAACTCATGATAGACCTGGAGGGCACATAAGCTCAGACTTACTTGCACACTTTCCATGGTCTCTTTTGCTTAGTTATTGTAACAGCAGTGACTAAAACTGACAAGAGGAAAATTCCTCAAGTACCAACAGATAATCATATTCTTTAAAGCTCTCTCACACAATCCCATTTCAACAGTAATCCTTAAGGTATTGGACCTGACCTTGGTAAGCTCCTGTAGGTCACTGGGACTCTGTTTCAATTCTAAGGCACGGCTCTTCTCCTTGGTGTGACTCCTCTGAAGCTTCTTCCTCTTGGACACCTTTTTACTGCACTTTTCATTCACCAGCTCATTTGTCTTTTTCATGCAATCTGAAGCATAGAGGAATCTGTCAAGCTCAGGATTATCAAGATAACTGCATTTGTTTTATTGCAGTACAAAGATAGTTTGCTGAATATAGAATAAAAGTTAAGTAATATGCTTTACTTGTTGTATTTAGCAAGTAGTCATGACAGAACAATGTCTCCTAGCTGCATAGCTCCATAGTCTACTTAGGTTTCTCACAATTAATAAAATGTCGAGCACAAAAGCAAATAAAAGTGCCAATAAGTCCAAAAAGAAAAGATCCTTTGGCTGAAAATTGTAGGCACAGTTAACGTCTAAACAGCATTGTCCTGTTTTTGTTGTCTATGACAACAGTGAGGGATATGTAGAAAGAGGCTGAGAGTCTGGGATGCACTAACACACACAGTATGATACTCTCTGCTGTCCTGAAAGAACTTGACCTTATTTAAGGAGCTAAAGAGGATTCCCAGAAAATGGCCTATTTTCAGAGTCCACCACTTAAATTTAAGAACTAGGCTAGATATTACAGATTGTCATTTGTCTCTGGGAACCATTTGAGTATATTAGAAGATAACTCCACACACATTTGGTCAATCATTGTAAAACTGTCATTATATAATTTTTTTTTTCCTGTTTAGTAAATATATGCCTTAAGAAACATACATCTTACTGTCAAATATAATTATCTTATTTGGTAGAACCACACAATACATTTCACGAGATTCAACTAAAACTATTTCAGTTTATTCATCTTACCGTCAGTGCACTGCTGAAGGCCTTCAATCAGTGTAGCCTGAATTTTTGAAAGTATCTTTTCCATTTGGCTAAATTTCAACATGTTATCGCTTGTCAGCTGTTCCAGAGTTGTAGCTATCAAGCCTTGCCTTAGAGTCACCTCCTGTCTTAGCAAGGCAGGCTGGGATTGAATGAGACCTGTCAGCTCCTCCCACCACAACAACTTCTGTTGCATTTTCTAAGAATTGGAAAATAACAGAAATACTCAGAAGCATATTTTCAGTCAGTAGGTCTTAAAATGATGACAAAAGTGATGAGAATCAAAATAAACGCTACTCCAAATGACGAGTGTTAGTTTACCTTTAGATCTACTTCTTGAGCCTTCAGCAGATGCTTCTCTACTAACAGAAGTGTCTGAATCAGAGACTGAATCACATTCTGAGCTTCATCTGGAGAGAAAGAGCTGGTCTTCTTAAGTAGCTGTTTGCACAAGTCCTCCACCTGTTTGCTGAAACTTTTGGACTATGAAGAGAAACAAACATTGTGCAGCCATGTTTATTCATGGAAGGAAGCATAAATAGAGGGAGTCTAAAAGATGTGAAAAAGCTGTTCCTCTCGACTTTTACCATTTGAAGGCCACGTTCAAGAAGATCTTTCTGACTTCTCTCAATTTCTTCCAATGTGCATGGATCATCTTGACTCTTCTCACTCACAGCTTGGCCTGCAGTCAACTGTTTCCTCAACTCATTCAGCTCCTTAAATGATAAAAACTGATGCTTACATTAAAAATTTTAAAAGTCAGTGATTCTAAATAGAGTACTAGTAATTGACTCCTACCTTTTCTTGCATCTGAAGAATATTCTTGGAAAAGGAAGCATCATTTTTGTCTTTTGGAAACCGATAGTTCAATATTATTTTCACCATCTGTAGAAAAATCTAAAATATGAAGTAAATAAAAAATATATATTAGTATAACAACATTCTTTAAAGGATATCTACAAGAAATCTAGTACATTATAAGACAGATGATTAAAGCTCACCAGATATTTTTCGTCTTGAAGCTGAGAGCAGTGATGTTGTATGTCCTGCAGGGCCAAACAGTAAAGGCTGATCCTACTTCCAAAACTGTGTAAACAAATGGGTGAGTGTTGTTACTTGGATCTGTGCAATGTGCCATGATTAATTGGTGGTTATAATGTGTGTGTACAGTTATTTTTTACCCTGTTTGCGTCAGTGTGTGAGGATAGTGGGAAACCCTGTTAAATCTCTGGTTCTGTAAGCTCTTGGGGAACAGCGAAGAGAAAATGAACTGACTGCTGCCATCGTTGTCTTGCTCTTGGCTCACAGACTCTCCATCCATGAAGGAGGACGACTCTTCATTAGGCATCACTGGCAACTTTGAGTGCTCATGTAGAGACGGATTGGATGCTCCATCTGCTAAAGGCTGACAGGTACAGTGAAACATAAAGCGTGATCAGTAGCCAAGTAGGCCATGTTTCCTTCTTGTCATTGTAAAACACAACTTATACATATTCTTTATATCAATTGTATTTCTAACTAGCATTGTGCATATTGTAGTTAATGAAATATGCAGTTAATGGAAGAATGCAACTACTACATATTAGTGTATGTCAATCGAAGCCAAACTTCCATCAGTTAATTTGCATCAGGTTAATATTCAATCCACTTTGATCACATGCACTTAACAATACTGTGGGTATATTTGGCAAAATATTTTTCAACTGCAATGTTAGTTAATCACGTGGATTCATCTGCATACGTAAATTAATTCACATTCTACTGATATTTGTGGTAAACAGACAAAATTAACAGCTTTAGCCAAAAAAAGGAAACACTTTAGCATATCTGGAATAAAACACTGTTTAGTTGTGTACGTGTAATTCTGCCACATGTTCTAGAGATGGTGGACTTACTCTGTATTTTTGGTTGATGGGATAAACCACTTTTGCTCTGGATGCAAAAGCAGCCACATCGCTGTTCACGGGTGGCTGCTTCTTCTCCTGCTCAATAAGTAAACAGAGTAAACTATTAAAGAGAAGTCTTAACCATCAAAAACTTTGTGACACTAAATAAAAATACAAGTTTATGTATGTACAGTTTTGGTCAGAAGTTTACAAGCAGTCATCATGGGCATGAATGTTGTGGTAATTTTTGACTTGATTTACCTCATTCATGTACCTGTGCAAAACAACACTAACTTTCAGTAATTGAGTCTTAGAGTAATACTTTGTCATGAGTGGTTCCACTTGGAGCCTCCTCCTTGCATTTGCTGACATGGTCCCTTTGGTTGTTGTCTAATTCAGCATCATCAGGTTCAAGCAGTCTACTTGCATTGTAACCCTGATGGGACAAAAGAGAAAATAAACATCTCAAATATGGAATGTAAAGTGTAAGGAATCAATACAGTGGATGTGGAAGAGACCATTTATGCTTACTTGTCTCGTCAACAGCAAAGGCTTCAGACAGAAGACATACAAAAGAGCAGCAGCTAATATTCCCGACAGCCCTCCGCACACTGTAGTTACTGTCAGCAGTCCTGTGTATAGATGCAGCGACTCGGGGAAACTGACCAAAACATCGGTGGCGCATTCCGCCATCACTTCCCTCTCTTCCATCTTTGCTTTGCTTCAAACTGTAGAAATAATACGGAGCATTTTGTAGGACTCATCGAGTAAACGGTAACATCTGACGCTAGCTAAAAAACAAACAAAAAAAACAATCTCTACACTAAACTTATCTGCTCGAGAATGATTTCAAAGGTTTTCGTGTTTCGTTAAAAAATACGGTTCTAAACTTGAGCAAGCTACGATTTCCAGCAACTTATTTGAGCCAAAACCTTGTCCTAAAACGACTAACTAAAAAAAAGAGGGCTGGAAGGAGATTTTCAGAGTGAGACAAGACCGTGCTGCTAGATCGGAAATGAAATACATTTGCTTTCAATGTTAAAGCACGATGAATTATTTCTGCATAAAAATAAGGGAGTCAATGTCTATAAGAACACTGACACAAGTAAGAGAAAAAAAGATTTCCAACAAACTTAGAGTTTCTTAACATATGAGGTTTTTTTCTAGCGCTATAAAAGTATTTGATTTTAGGCTGATATTTTCTTTTATTTTGAAACCACAGACCGGAAACTATCCAGTGTACTTTGTTCCTCTTGACTTTCTTGGAGTTAAACAGTTCTTCCCAAGTTTCGGAGATGTTTTCCGACGTTTTTCCGCAGTAGCGGTTATTATGAAGCTTGACTTTGTTTAGGTCTATAAATCGTTGAAACGGCGTATGCCGTTTCTCCGTATATGTTAAAATTCAAGGACGACGTTCTTGAGCATCGGAGACGCTGTTACATTAGGTGTTTCTCAAGAAAAGCTAGAGAAATGTTTTCGTCGCCACAGCACAGTGAAGTGCAGACACAATGCAGACAGTTAGCTAGCGGCTTCCCTCGGTGGTAGCACACCAAGTCACGAATGCTTCGGGTACACTTTACCGTGGAGAGGGTCGCAATATGTATATATTTCTTAAATATCGAAGTATCGTGTTTTTCTCCAGCCTTTTTATATTCACGTTGCGGTCCCGATGTAACAAGGCGCACCGGTGTTTTGGAGGACACAACTGGAAACCAGTCTTGTTATAACGGCACTGCCCTGAGTACATCATGGCACACAACATCTTCTTTCCCTGTGAAACATAGGGTGAGTTGCTCAGTGGTAAAAAGTCAATGGTATTTGTTTAGCTGTCAGCTAGAAATTAAATTTAGCAACCAATAGATTGATTCACATCATCTAAATAAATAAACCGTTCTTTCGTAACAAACCCTTGTTTTTGTTTGTTTGTTGTTGTTTTTTTGTTTTCGTTTTTACAGTTGCAGTCATAAGTTTACATCCACTCATCACGAGCTTGACTTTCATGGTAATTTGGGGGCTTTTAATGATTTCTTTGAACTGGTGGAATGATGGTACCGCTCCATCTTCAATGGCTCTAAAAAACAAGAACTATGTGCACAAGTTTGAATTTATGTTGGATTTTCTCTAATCCTTCTCCTTGGTGATCATGACTGACTACAACTGTTAGTTTCTTTTTAACACCACAAAAAGGATTTGTTTGATACCACTCATGGATTGATCAGTGCTCAGAACAATGGGAAAGTCCAAGGAACTCAGTGAAGATCTGAAAAGGAGAATTCTACCAAATCATTAAATATGTATGCAAATATTCCACCCTTTAAAAAGAGCGGTGAAAATAAATAATTCAAAATTACCATGACAATCACTATCGTGATGAGTGCATGTAAACCTCTGACCATAACTGCTGGCCATAACATAATTACATATTTAATATAATACATGTGTACCTCTTAATGCTCTTATCCCATCAGATCCTTGCCAGTATGGATTCAATACAATATGACCCAGGCGGACAATCAGCAGACCCATTACTTAGAAAGGATGGTTTGTGCTTTTTCTAAGCCAATAACACAGAAAATAACTTTCAAAATAATGAAATAATATGCTGATTCAACTGTACATTACTCCATGATGTGAAAAATAATGTTTGATTGTGCTTTTTTGCCCACTTGTGTTGTTCATTTGAGTGTAAATTTCCATAATGAACGCTGTAATCGTTTTGCTTGGGGAATGTGTGATATACAGGCTCTCTTTCAGCTTTTGTAGCTGCTTTTTTCAAGCTGTTCAAGCACCATGTATACACATTTACCTGACAGGTACAGTGGAAATTGGTGAGGCTAAAGCATTTTTCGGAAGGGGCCCTCTCGCTTCTTCAGCTCCTGCTGGTCCGTGGGGTCACTCTTTTTACTCTTCATTTCTCTATGTATCAAATGGCTTGCACCTCAGGAACAGCAGAAGCACCCTCACCAGATATAACCTGGGCCACTCGCTGCCTCAGGTATGTTTCTACATGATTATTACTAAACTATTCCGAAAAAAAAATCAAAGGAAAAGATTATTGTGTTGGAAGAAACTAAATATATATTGTTTTGGTTTTTTTTTTTCTTTTTTATAATCCTGCAGGTTCAGAGTGTGGTGCCTCCAGCTGCATTTGGAGTAAAATTTCACAAGTGTGCACAGGTACATCAACAATATTGAAAGAATTTAAAACCCTTTGATAAATGCACATTTAATGAACCAATTAACCTGATATAAATTTATTTTTCAATCATGTAACCAAGGTGAAGCTTGACACTGATCCCCCTCAGTTGACGTTCTTTCTGCTGGTTCGCAACGTGGGCCCTGTGGGTGGCACCAACCTATCTCAGGTGGCTATCCGGGACTCGATTTCAGGATTAGTACCTCTAAAATCTGAAGGCCGGGTTGTGGAAAGAGGCTACCAGACATTTGCCATTGAGTCGTTGTTGGGTATGTTTGGGAATGAGGATGTTTAAGAAGATTATTTTTAGCCAGACTATCTCTGCGTGCTGCTTCGGCAGTTGATATGTTTATTTTGCTCACTTAGCTGGATCTCAAATGGTTCTCAATTATACTGCTCACGTAAGGAGTCAAAAGAGCGAAGTCCTTGACCTTCCAGCTTTTCTCACCTTCTCTAATGCCTCACAGGTACTTTTTTCAATCTTCCTAATTGGCAACACTGTCAAACCAAAGCTTTCTAGATCCTAATTTGCAGGATAATAAGGTCATTTCCAGCCCTGTTAGCCTGGTTGTTTATTTCTTTCTTGGTTCCACAGAATGATGTCAGCATGTTTGGCCCATTAAGGGCTAATCTAACGCTGAGGATGAATTCCACAGACAGAGTAAGTTTGGGGCAGCGCCTTAATTTGTAACAAGATCTACATGACAGCACAAGTTGTTTATTGTTGTCATTTCTTCAGTGTTATATTTATTGCGTTCATAAAAGGGACTTAATTGTAAGTGTGACATATATGTCTCTCTTTTAGATCTATCCTAACCACGGTGTTCATTTTGCTGGATTTGTTGCTGGGTTGTTTGTCACCATGGTGCTGCTGCTGCTGGGGTTTCTGGCCATAAATGTGATAGGACTCAGAACTAGACTGAATCTTCTTCAAAAAAGGGTATCACAAGTTCATCTCTTAAACCTAATGATAAAGTGTAATATTGACCATGAACAATTTAAATGCAGTTGCTATAACAATGCTTAATGCTTATTGCAATATATTTTATTTGCATAGTAATGTCTGTATATGTTCTTTTGTTTTGTTCTTCATCTTCATTCTGCCGTATGGTGTTTCTTTTGCTTCAGAGAAACAGAAGTGATTCAGACCCTGAGTTTGCAGACTCCAACTTGAGTGAGACAGTCAAGGATGAGGCAACATTTGAAGACAAGATTGTGGACACCATGGTTCTGGAGGATCCACAGAACATGTACAGGGCTTTGGAAAAGTGAGTAGATCAGCCCAGCATGACTTAATTTCCACTAATGGAACAATACCAAAAAACAATTAGTACAAAAATGAAGCGTTAATTGTGTTACTGTAAAGTTGTTCCTTTTTCTACATTATGTCAAAATCAATACCTGCAACATACCACCTTATTCTGTTTATTGTGTGTTTTATCTCTTTAGTCTTGAAATGTCTTCACTGCTACATGCCACCAATAACCTGGAAGCCATCCGGATTCAGATTTACAAGGACGTGATGTCCTCCTTGCTTGCCAGACTTCAATTTCAGGGCCAGGCCAGTGCTCAAGCCCAGGAGAGGCTGCTTAGTGTGCTTCACGGGCAGCTGCTAGGCATGGAGGGACGGCTCAAGGAGGAGCGAGGGGCTCGCATGGTTGCCTTGGCTGGTCAGTGTAACCTGGAGACTCGGGAAGAAATGGAAGCAGAGCACTGCAGAGAGGCTGCTGAGAAGGCCCAGGCTGAGCTTCTGTGTCAACATGCAGATCAACAGGTAGTAACAATCTGTTTTTGCATTGTTAACTCTGCCAAGGATGTTAGCATTTTGGGATTACACAAAAACTACTAGGTCAGTGTTTATGAAATTGGACAAAGGAAGAAATCTGTTCTGAATCAAGGTGTGTATACTAGTTTTGTTTTTAACAGTTCAGTCACACTGGCAGCTCGTATAGCTCTGTAGTGTAGTAGGGTGTAGGGCATCTGCCATAAAACTGCCAACTTAAACATGTAGAGCTACCTGCTGTGATGGGGGACCCCAGCCATCAAGGGCTGACTGAAATGTAATCGTTAAACCACTATGGCAGAGGCACCGCAAGTACAACAGCTATTTTGGAATATGAAGGTTTCTATGAGTAAAATAAATATAAACATGTGTTAGAAGAAAGATTTCACTTTTACACCTTTTAAGATTAATTTTGAAATCTTGAAATCTCAGGAACTTCTTCAGTGTAGTGTCATCCTGGAGAAGCTGCACAAGTTGAGCCAGAGTCAGCTTCAACGCATCTTATTGGTTCGTCATGAAGAGGCCTCAGCAAAGCTCCAGAGGCAGATCATTGAGTGGCGACGGGTGGAGCTGCACAAGATTTTCTCAGAGGAACTGGAGGAGGCCACCAGGATGGGAGAGTTGGAGAAGAGCACAGCCAAGAATCTTCAGCACAAATACTTTACTTGTCAGGTGAACAGTCAGAGCCTTTTGAGTTGGGTTATCATTTAATTGGCATGCCTGTTTAAAGAAAAATGATGTGATATACATACATCTACACTTGTGGTGAAACATTAACATGAAACACAAAGAGTTGTTGTTTTGTTTTTGTTTGTTTTTATCCAGGATCAGCTAGAGGAGGTGCTGGATGTAGTCCTTGCCAATCTGCGCTATGTGCTAGCTGAACGCAGCGCACAGAGGAAGTTTCTGGTGCACAGCCTCCACAGCCTTAACAGCCTGATTTCTGACACTTTCTCCAGCACCTCCAGCAACTTGGACAGCTGGTTCACTTACATCAGGGGGTTGGTGCCAATTTAAAAAAAAAAACACAAATGTTCCTGCGTCTTAATAAAAAAAATAACTGAAACATGTCTGGTAATCATGTGATATATACAAAACAAAATATGCAGTATCTAAAAGTTCAGGGACATAAATGCTCTAGTGTTTTTAAAAATCTTGTTGATATCTACAAATACAAGTACACTATGCTAGAGTTGTTTCACTGTGGTACTCTGCTCCCTTCTCCACCAGAGGGAGCAAACTGCCTGCAGTGCAGGTCGACCACCTGCAGGAGAAGGCTCAGAAAGACCTGGTGATGCTGAGACAGAGACTGGATGAGGCACTGAAGCAGGAGAGGAGAGCCATGCATTGCGGACTGATTAAGAAGAGGAGGGAGCTCATATCTGACATGGTGAGCAGAAGTGGATATACACAGGTCTCTGCATTTATTCATTGTAACTGATGTCAAAAATATCTGTTTTGCAAGGTGTTTCCATTTGAAAAATGAAATCCTTTTGTTTGCCTTGTCCAGGTGACGGTCCACAAACAAAGACAGAAGGACCTGTCGAACATGTGCAAGGGTCTGGAGGGAGGGATAGAGGTAGGACAGCATCTGCACTGTTGGCAGAATTTACTGACAGCTCACAGCTTGGAGCTAGCAGAGCTTATCAACAACCTGGATGAGGAAGCTGCTGCAGACATCCGCAAGGTGCCACACTCAGACTTCACATCACTTTGCGTGTCAATTTTCTCATGTGAGACATGAAGTTGCACAAATATGAAGTGAGGTTGATCTCATACCTGTTCTTTAGGTCACCATGCGTGTGATCCAGGGTGCCATAGCAGACATCAAAGCCATCCAGCCTTCTGCAGCTCAGGCTGTATCAGCCCTCTTGCCTCCAGGAGAGCAAGACTTTCCACTGCAGATGGAACCAGGGCAAGGATCAGGACAGGGAGCGAGTGCTCTCCTGGTGGGTCAGGAAAGACTGCACCAGGAAGGCAAGGCGGCCTTGCGTATCCTCAGCTCCACCAGGGAGGCTCTGAAGGAAGACATGGAGAAAGAGCTACAGGAGCAGAAGGCACTTAGGACACGCTGCAAAGATTTCTTCAGGTCAGTGAGGCAATTTTACTGATTTCAGAAACTAAAGATTGTGTATGCGGTCCCAGTAGAAGATGGAAAATCAAAGAAAGAAACAACAAACTGGTTCCACAAGTTTAGGATGATAGCAGGTGGGAATTCTTAAAACAGCTGTAATGGTAGCAGATGCCACACACTGTTTACTTCCATGAACTTTTTATCTTTTATAAATAATATATACATTGGATAATGGTACCCAGTAAGTTTAGAAGAGTCAAGCTGGTTCACCTGTCACTTTTCTCTTTTCCTTTCTATCATAGGTGTTTGTGTTTGTCCCAGCTAACTCTGTCTGAAGATGACAGGCTAAAGATGAAACTGGAGTTTCAGAAATGTCTCTCTGTGATAGATCGCTGTCTGGTGATGCCACACGCTGTCGCCAGAACTAAACTTCTGTGTGCTCTGGCAGCTTGGAGGAAGGAGAGCGAGAAACAGATGGTGCGTATATAATCACATGTTACTCAGTTCATTTGAAATGCTCTTAAAATGTTGCTGTATAGAATTGCATATTGTACTGATTGTCATTCATTTCATAGTTTGAAAAAAAGTTTGTGCTACCCTGAATTGGAAAGTGGATGGATTGGGTGGGGGGCTTTTTCCTGCCTTATTCACTAAACTTAAAATTAAATCAACAATGCCGTCATAGATTTTTTCCCCCACTTCTTTTAAAAGGCATTAGCTAAAGTAGTATGGCTAAACAATTTAGCTTCTTTGCACTGCAGTTTTTCAACTGCAGGCAATGCTCTGAATTAAATTTCCCTGGGAAACGCTGATCAAAGCATGCATCATTTTATGGAGGCATTTAATGTGGTGGTAAAGCAAGCACTCGTCTCGTTTTCATCACCAGGCCTTTATGCATTCTGGTATTGATAAGTTCTTTTGAGTCAGTTCATGGCATTTTTCCCATGGGAAAATTTTTTCCATGTTTATTCAGTATGCATTAATATCTTCTTGTTTTTGAATCTCTTTATAATATTCTTAAGGTAACTCAAAGTAAGAAACTGACCCCCATTAAGCTACAACCAGAGATAATGATGCTTTTAATGTTTTCTCATATGAATAAGAGAAAACGGCCAGTGGAAAACCACACTGCTGTAATCCTCAATTGTGTGGCTGCTGGATGAGTGTACATTGTTATTGAGAAAATACAAAGGGGATCCACAGAGTGGCTTCATTTCTGATCACGTCATGACATTGAGCTTGGAGTTCTTTCCCAACCACCTTCCGGATACTGTGGCTTTTTGCAGATGAATACACAATCCAAGGGGAAAACCAGTGAGGCCAGACAGAAAGCAGACACATCCGACCTGCAACTTTTCCAGAAAAAGCTTAAGGATAGGATTCAACTATATGAGAGGGAGAAGGAGATGGAGAGCAGTATAATGAGCAAGGTATAGCTGTTTCCTAAAACCTTGATGATAATTGATTTTTAAGTTTATTTATTATCATCCTGTATTTTTACAGCATGTTAAAGTGATCCAGGAAATTCACAGAGCAAAGAAAACCATAAGTCTTGAAGACAGTTTGAGTTTAACATCAAAATTGTGCATCAGTAGGTTTTGAGTTTATACCAGAAGACTGAAAATCATCCGTTCTCAATATGGCAGGTGTTGGAGGAGATGACGCATGAGAGAGAAGATGATCTGCACTCTCAGGCAGACAGCCTGGCTGTGCAAATGGCTATCATCCATTACCAGAAGGCTGAGAGGCGAACCAAAGTTTTGGAGACCTGCAGAGCAATGCTGACTCTCCATAGCCTGCTTGTTCAACAGCTCAAAGAAAGGAAGCATTTGGAGAGACAAGACATGGCTCAGAGTATACAAAGCCACTGCTTGGTAGGTAGTATCTGACTTGTGTGCGGTAGCTGCTTCTCTCCTGAAGCCTATAAATTTTCATTCTGTGAAATTTTTTATTTTTATCTTTAATTATTGGGTTTCTTCTGAGACATGGCTATTTGAAGGTCACTTTGACTTTTGCCACAGGGCCTAGAGGAAGCAGAGCAACAGCTTCAGGAGGAAAGAACAAACTTGGACAGCCTGCAAATGTCTCAGCCCACTATAAAGTCAAGTAAAACACATCAGGAGGACTCTGGTGTGGGAGATGAGAACTGTGAGCAAGAAACCGTGTTTCAGTTGCAGACAGATTGCAGGATGGGGGCCATCCTTCAGGATGCACTTTATAAGCGTGAGCAGGTTACTTCACTGATGGCTGAGAGGTAAGCTGTTATTCAGCATTATTTAGAGAGCAATGAGGATTTTGGGGGTGTTGATGTAAGCCATTCCATTTCACAATGTGGAAACTCTGATGTTTTCAGGTTTCACTTAATGACTGCCAAGAGTCAAAGCATGGAAGATTTAAAAGAACAAATGGAGCTCAAGAGACTGTATGCAAACTGTGACCAGGTCTCAGTTTTTTTTTCCATGATAAGTGTTTGGATAATATGTGTAATAAAAGCAATCAAAACTTTGTACCAGTTAGTTCAGACAAAATGTGGGCTAACAAATACTCTGCACTGCTCTTCGTTACAGGATCTGGACTTTGCATCTCAGCTGGTCAAGCGGTGTCATGTGTCTACCGAGGTTCTCCTGGAGGCCCTACGTCTCCTTCTCCCAACCCTGCCTGAAAGTGAACTCCTTTCAATCAGTGATGCCCTGTGCCCCAAGCAGCACCCTCCCTCAGGGTCTGCAGAACAGGAACACCCAGGGTAAGAACCAGGTTCTGAGTTTCTATCCTTTTATAAGAATCTGGAGGTTCATACGTCATCTGTCAACAGTGTTCAGTGCTTTGACTTATGAGAGTGAATCTTATTATATTGTAACAGTAAATAGAGTTCTGTCAAAGAGATAATCAACTTTTTTTTCCTGAAGGAACATCTGAACAGAATAACATAACCACTACAGTTTGCTAGGGAAAAGGGAAGTAATGTAAATGAGCAGGTAGAAATGGTTGACAACAAAATTGCAATCTTTAATGACTGAAATTAATACATATGCTAAGAACATAGCCAAACGCAGCAGAAAACACAATGAAAGAACTTTTGTGTTTTCATTGATTTTGGAAATGGTGTCTTTCCACCAGCCTTATAGATTTATTCTTTACTTTATACGATTTTTCATGAAGTCATCCTTCACTGACTTGTTGCAGTTCTGTGCCTGGGCATGGTTAGTGATCACACTATGGGTATACTGCATCAGGCCATGCTGCACTTAACCGTTATCAGGCACTGTACACAGCAATCACTGCACACAGCTGGACTTTGGAGGTCAAACGTGCTCAGGCTTTGTAGGATACCTATAATGAGTACATCCTAAGAGCCTGGGGGCTCTCTTAAGCAGGTGAGTAAATTACAGATTCAGTCTGATTCACACATGAGGCTGGGACACTGGTTCAGTCCAACACCAGGGCCAATGGAGTAGGTGACTCACAAGAAAGCAACAGTATATCAAGTGCAGCCACTAATCTTGATTGAGCAATAAAATGTATACATTTTTTATCAGGGCAATAACATTAGATGGTGAAGTTCTTTGAGGAAATTTAAATTTGACATATTGGAGCATAATGCTATTAGTTTGACTCTTGGCTTAATCTATTATAGCTGTGCAGTATTTAATGTGTGTCATGCTCTTTTACTGAAACTCTAAAGATTGTTTGTTCTTTGTTTAGCTGAGTGATTTAATGAAGTTAAATGAAGTTAGATGAAATTACTTCTCATCATTTAAAATCCTCAGTTTTAAGTTGGGTCTCCAGCATACATAACCTACATGCAACAACAAGTTGGTCTAGTCTTGCTAAGGAAATGATAATGTTTTGTTTTTCTTTTTTTCTTTCTGCTAGTACATAGCCAGTCTCAACAGTTCAAGTTCAGTTTTTTAAGAAAATATATTTGAAGTCTCTTATTTGAGAAGAAACAAAACTGTGTTTTCCCAGCAGCCAGTTGAAACACAACCATCTCTGCGTATTGTCTTAAATGTAAATGACAAAAGCTGTTTTCCCTGAGCCAAGATGGAGAGATAAATGATTTTACTCATCATTTAATTTCCCCTCTTGTCCTGGTGCACTGGAACAGTTTTGTCTGCACCCCGCTGAGTCTGGATTATTTTACTGATGAATGATGCCTCCTGCTTGGGATCTGAGCTTCTGGCCAAAGGACAAGGGAGTGAAAAGTTTGGAACAATATGCAAGACATGTGTTTTTCTTTTCATTAGTTCTTTTGTTTCTGCTTTTTGTTTGGAGAATGGAGTTCACCAATTCTTAACAGCTGTTTTAGTTTTATTGAAAAGAGGATTCATGTATATAGTATTGTTTAATTTTAACAGTGACTATTATATTCATTTTAGCTCCCTATTTTATTCGCTGGACTGTGCTACAGTAGCTTTGTGTGATTTACAGTTCAAAATAATTCTTACTGGGCCTTTAGTGCTGCTTTTCTGTCTGGAAGAAGCCCTTTCAGCTCTTCTCCCTTTAAGTCCATCATCCAAGAAGCCAGAGCTCTTTCCATTGGCTGCCCCTCATAAACACGGCAGATAGGCGGGGCTTGTGTGCTCCAAGCCAAAGCTGTGTTCTTGAGAGCCATATTAGAAATATATGCTCACACTAACATCATTCACAGTACCAAAATGATCTGAAATCTGATCTTTTGACTCATATTTAAACATTATTTATACACACATATAGTCTGTGAACTCCTGTGTTGAAGAGTTGGTAGTTATGTCTGCTGTTCTGAGGACAAATGTCTCCCTTGATTTGTCAGTGTCCTTTGCTAATTTGGACACTAATATAAAGCAATCAGGTTGCTCCAAAGTGGTCAGGCTTTAAATTTCCCTCTATCCAATACCACAGTTTGCTTTAATACACTGCAAAAAAGCAACTGTTGACAAAACTCAAAATACTGAGGCAGCTTGGTTCAATGGCTGTTTTGAGTTTTCTTGGCTTTTCACTGTTCATGTTGATTTTAAACTTTCATGTTGAAACAGCAGTTTTGGCAACTTGAAAATCACCTTATTCATCATAATATACCTACAGTGTAGGAGAATTATTTGAGCCCCACATGGATTTTACATAGCATGCTGTATTAAATCCATAGGTAGGTGTTCAGAGGTTCTGTCCATGCCATCTGCTCGCTGCATAGCTAATGTAACACATATAGTCCCCCCATTACAAAACCCTGTTGATGACTCATTTGCATTTTGACAGATATTGTCCATGAAGTGTCACAAGTACAGAGAAACCAGAAGACTTGCACTGTTTACTGTCGAAATAAAGACTGCCTACTTAAGACCGACTCTGTGTTTTGAAGGCAATCTTAAAAATATAGTAATTCTCCTAAAGGTTTTTTCAGTTAGACTTATCTGGATTTATTCATTAAACTGCCCAGCTTAACATGTTGTACCCTACTACGAAGGAGATAAGATATTTAATCATTTTTCTCTAAATGTGAGATCACAAAACTAATGAATTATTACAGTGTGTGAATAGTTAGGAATTGTTTTATTAAACCAGTTGTCTGCAGACTTTGTAAAGCAGCTGACAGTTTTGTATTCTGTTGGTGACTTTTTGTTTAGGTGTGCTGAGGAGCTGAACAGAGTTCTTCCTGTCAAACTGAGAGAAGATGTGGTGCATAAAAATATGCTGAATATTCCAAGTTGTGCTGTGGATAAAGAGGGGTGAGTTAAACACATTTCTTTGTTCTTCTACCAACCACCATATAAAGACTTCATGTTACACCACAGCCAAGGCTAATTTGTAGTTTAGTGGTCACCAGATATTACTGTCAGATCCTTAAATTGAAGTGAAATGTGCCTGTCGGATTGCATGGTTTGGCTGCGGTGACCACACGCATGAGGTAAGCGCGTTAACACTCTAGTCCTGCTAACAAAAGCTCCTTTGTCCTCCAAATCTCACAGACTCCAGGAAAAGAGGCAAAGTCTGATGGAAAAACTGCTCCCCAGGTCCGGTCTTGTGCTTCAAGGGGATACTGCACCGCTGCTGACTAAGGAGAAGGGAAAGAACATCTGTAGCAAAGCACAGCAGCCGGTTTATAAATCTGGGCTGCCTGTTAAAGAGCAGCAGAGCGACAGTGGAAGAGAAGAATTTGTGGACACAGTAAAGGAAGCAGAGGAACACACGACTTCAGCCTCTGCTTGCTGTGCGCCGGGGAGCCCAGCAACTGGGGAAAAGCTGTTTGTTTTCCGGGATCCACCTGAATCATGTAACAGTGTAGATGTCCCAAATAGAAAAAGGAAGAGGAATTTCCTCAATCTGAAGAAAGGTTCAGTGGCCCCAACAAACCTACCTTGAAATTTGTCTTGTCTTTTGTATTATTGTTTTTTAATGAGGATGGTATTTTATATATGATCATTCTCCAAAAAAAAATATCTGGTACTTCACAAAGTGTTTATATGATCTGACTTTGTTTTATTTTTTTAATAAAATCAGCTGGCTTAAGTTGTTTCCAGTCATTTCTCACTGTCTTCTCAATAATTCAGATTGCTAATAAGCTGGTCAGAAATGACTGGTTGAGTAATAAACTGTTATGTCGCGGCCTTGTCCTAAACATCTCCCCAAAAGGCAAAACTTCACTAATCAATAATAGGAGAAAGGAACATGCCAAAGTGAAACCTTGTAGCTGTGTGCTAATGAGAAAGTTACTACTTTCAAACATCTGTGTTAAAAACCCTACATTGGACAAACGGATACAAAGTTTCCAAACACGCTCACACCTGTGATTTCTACTAATGAACTTCGTGACTGCAGGTCAGATGATTTGACGTACAAAGTGGCTGTAGTGACTTTCGTCTTAGCTCTCATTAATATCTTGCTTTTACGTAATGACGAGCAGTAGGACAGAAAGCACCGCAAAATCCGTCCGTCCATTGTCAGCAGGGAGAAATCAGTTGCCGCTGCTATTTAGACATGGCTGATTTGCTCTCCACAACGCAGAAGATCCCAAATGTCTTTTTGGGGTTTTTTTGTGTGAGCTGTACTGATCCTCCACGTCATCCTACGTGTTTTTTTCCTTCTACTCCATCCTTAAAACAGCAGCCGGCCCTCCTCTGTACTACTTGACAGGCTCTACCAGTCCAGTCCTGAGTATCGCCGTCTGCAGAGCGTTATCCGACATGAAGCTGGGACTCGCAGCTCTCCTGTGCCTCTCCAGCCTCGTGTGGCTGTCGGAGTGCACACCTCCGACCTGCTACTCCAGAGCTCTCGACCTGAGCAAAGAAATCATGACGCTGCTGGATAAAATACACACCTCTCATCGCACGGTAAGAGAGTCTACGTTTGTGGCGTTTTTGGCATCTTGATGCCACCAGTTATTTAACTCAACGCTCATGTTTGCTGGGTTGCAGAAAACATGTGCTGAGATTCTGCCTACCATCTTCCTGGACGTGCATGTAAGTTGTTAATTTTTTAAATGTTCATTTTCTTTTACTGTATAAGTTCCCAGTAAATGAAGCGCTAAATGTATCAATTTAATACAAAATCAACTGACTAATTTAGCTGTCGCCCACTCTGTTAAACTGGCACACGACAAATATTTCCTGTGGCAAATTTGTACAGTTTGGATATGTGCATTGAGAATGCCCGAGGCACAAAATCTTAAGCTTTGATTTGACCTGATGTGCAGATGTTTGCAGTTTGACAGCTGTGCTGTGCAAAAGAAAGAAAGAAAGAAAAGAATAATAATAATTAAAAAAAAAAAAAAAAAACTGGTAGTATTTCTCTTGGAGATTGAATGTAAATACTTGTTTCATGACTCCAGAACTCCTGCATCACTACCAAGCTCCGTGACTTTCTTTACGTGGTGTTGAACCATCCCAACCAGTACTGCAGAGAGAAACCCAGAATGGTTCTGCTGAAGCGCAAAATCCAGAACCTTTACAGCATCATCACCAGAATCTGTTATCGGGTAAGCACTCCGCAGTGTGTGTGGGTTTCTTTTTGAGCTTTTATGTCTTCAAGTAGAGCAGCTACACCACATGTTTCTTGTTTCTTGTTTCTTGGCAGGACTTGGTGTTTTTCACAGACGACTGCCAGGCTATTGATACTGGAAACACCAGTCCTTACTATGCAGAGGACAGGCTTCAGCTGCTCCAAGAGGACAGATGATCAACAAAAACACAGATATCCGGGCATACGCTGGGCTGTTACATTCATATAAATACCACAGTAACAACACATAGAATGGTAGAACATGCACCATAAACACCACATACTAAAGTGTATCAGATGCAGCATAAACACATCATACGGCTTTGGTAGTGCACGCAGTGCTGTTTCACACTGTACCCAGTTGGGTACACACTCATGTTATTGGACATGCATGGCTACATTCCAGCAAGGAGTGCAGAACTTTCCACAGGAAATTTGCTGAATGCCAACCATGCCGATGAAAACCTTGAAATAACAAACCAAGGGAGCCAGCCTTAACCGCTGCTTACTTACCAGGGCTGATCAAAGCTCCGTGTGTCATTAAGAGAAATATATCGTTGTTGTCGCAACCTGTAGCCTGACAAACATGTATTTGAGGGAGCACTGTAACGTATTTTGTAAACATCTGAAGACCTGAACATGGTGGGGAAAGTGTTATGCAAGAAATAGATATCTAAGCCATGCTTGTACAGTATGTTCCTTCTGATAGGGTTTGAAAGAGTTGTGTCAGTTCTGCTGCTTGTACTCATGCTGAATGAATATCATGGATCAATGGCCTTAAGCAGACTGAATGTAAAATAATAGATGTATCACTGTCAGAGAGAGAAACTCACTGCCTTTTATGAGTACTTACCCATGATTACCCACATATGCAATAAACCATCTCTTTATGTGTCAGAGTTCATGCCCTTGTTGATTTGTTCTTCAGAGTTATTAAAAAAATGTCTGCCAGTTGTTTTTGGAAAGAAGGGATTATAAAAACAAAAAGAAAAGAACTGGAGGGTGAGTCAGCAGAGGAGCCCTCCCTGAAAACATTATTCATACTCGTAACTTATTTTTCATTCAGCTCTTATTGATTAATTTCACTTAATTAGAAAGCTTTTTGTTTTTTGTTGTTGTTCTGTATTGAGTTACCACTGTGTCATTTGTCTCTTCAGTAAGCGGCAGATGAGTTTTGAAATGTGACCCATTAACTGTGACTGAAAGAAATCCACAGACACAATGACTTTTTATTTAATTTTGGCATTTTGGCCACACAAGGTTGCTTGGACAAATAACTGTGCAGCTGCCTTTATGCTGAAATCTAGGATTTTCAAAGCTGTTCTTCCCAGATGTGAGTTGTGGCCTTTGCTGCCCTCTGTTGCCGAAACCACACAACCAACCTACAGAAGATTTTCTACTTTTGTTAATTTATACAGACAGACAGTAAAGAATTCTGGGATTTGTCCACCTTCCAAAGCTAAAATATACAAGAAAACGTTGTCCTCTTTTCACATACATTTTTCAAAGTGTGAAACTGTTTTCACACACACACTGAAATTTTGCTTTTTATGTATACAGCACTTTTCTCAGCACCCTATATTACTGCTTGGATGTCATTCAAACAATTATAAATAGATCTGCTTTATGAGTCATTTTGGATGAGGTCATGGTATTTTGTCCTTGGTTTCCATTCATGTCAGTGTAAAAATAAAACGGAGTGCTTGAAATTACCTGTAAGGTACAGCATTACCTATTAGACATTCTCATTTAAATTTTTTGACAAAAGACAAGAGGCTTAATTATTTTTACATGACAAAGTTGCTCTTTTCTTTCACTGTCAAGTCATAGAAAGAATGGCCAAAATAGCAACATGCTTCACGAAAGAAACCAGTTGAAAACTCTAGTCAATTATTTATCTCTTCAATTTTCCATTTGACATCAATACATCAATACTATTCCAAAGTAGTCTGAAATTCTGATCTAGCTTTGCTTTTTTGTTTATTTTTTAGAGTAATTGATGTATCTGATGTTGCAAGTGTAAAGTATTATGTTTTAAATTTGTCCCAAGTTTACTGATGCCTGATGTGCCACCCCAGCTTGTTGTTAGATTTTCATTTTTAAACATTACAGACTGAGATAATGTGTTCAGTGTATTGTTGAGCTCTAAAACAGCTGGTCATAAGTACATCTAGACTGTGTTGTCTCTCTCTTTTTTTCTTTTCTTTTTTTTCTTTACTTTTTATTCAGCAATTTATAACAAGAAAAACAGAGCAGGTGAGATACTGCATTGCACTGCATTCTTACAAAAAGGTAGCTTCCTCCTCAGCTTACATAAAGGCGACCCATTTCTTCAACTTCTTTAGAAAGGTGTCTCCTTTAGAGTTTGGCAAGAAAGTCAACCTCTCATTATAAAGATTCCCCTAACAGTGTCAACCTATTCATTAAGACTTGGAGGGACTTTGATTTTAATATTCAGATACTGGATTTATCCTTGATAGGTAGTTCTCATTTGTTTCATAGTCAAGTCTCAGCGTTAGAAGAATTTTGACAGTGCTCTGATCTGTCACAAGGTGGTGCTGATTGACCTATAATTCTACATCTTATATCATTCTACATGTTGTACATCTGCAACAGAAGTGTATTTTAAACCTACCCTTTGAATGAAAGTAATACTAGAAAAAACACTTTTAAAGGGTCTTACGCTGTTTATCTTTCAATTACAGTATTTTTTTAAGCAATCATCACCCTCTGACTCATTTTGTTCAGAAGCCATCACTTGACCTATCCGTCTTAGGTAATTATAAGCCATTTTCCATCCTTGCTTTTATTTCAAAAATTCTTGAAAGAGTAGTTGTAAAACAGCTAACTGAACTTATGCGGTGGAATTGTTTATTTGAAGAGTTTCAATCTGGTTTCAGAGCTTTAGTGAAGGTTACAAGTGATCTTCTTTCAGCCTCTGACAGTGGACTCATCTCTGTGCTTGTCCTGGTAGATTTCAGTGCAGCGTTCACTACTGTTGACAATAACATTTTATTACTGTGATTAGAACATGCTGTAGATATTAAAGGTACTGTGCTGCAGCGGTCTGAATCATATCTATTTAGTAGACTCCAGTTTGTTCATGTAAACGGAGAGTCCTCTTCACACACTAAGGTTAATTATGGAATTCCACAGGGTTCTGTGTGAGGACCAGTTCTGTTTACATTATACATGCTTCCCTTAGGCAGTATCAGTAGTAACTATGCAGATGACACCCAACTTTATTTGTCCATGAAGCCAGATAACACACACCAATTAGTTAACTACAGTAATGTCTTAAAGACATGAAGACCTGGATGACCCCAAATTTTCTGCTTTTAAATTAAGATAAAACGGAGGCCCTGAAAATCTTAGAAATGCAGTTTCTAGCCAAATGCTTACTCTGGATGGCATTACTATGGCCTCCAGTAACACTGTTAGGAATCTTAGAGTCCTTTTTGATGAGGACATGTCCTTAAATGCACATTTTGAACAAATATCTAGGACTGCTT